TAATTCGAATATGATCGAAATCACGTGGCAATGAAGGACGACAAATTCAAAATATGACACGTATTGTTCAAAGTAGGCTAACCTCAAATTTGTACGATTATTGTTTGAAGAATTTCTTCCTTGAATGTTATTGATTAAAGAAGCTAATAATGAACTATTTCCAATAATGGAACAACTGTCAAAACTTCGACCAAATCATGAAGTATAGAAAACTATAGAAAACCAACCTGAAAAACTTTTTTGAAAAAAGGACTACTTGCTGAGAGAATCACTTTATGAGCTGTAAGACACTGTCCATCACTTGCCAATGTCACATCTACTAAACCTTCTTCCTCCCAAAGACTTTCGAAACTCGTGGCGATATTGTTTAAAAAACTGTTCCATTTTAGACATATTTGATTTGACATCTCGCAGATAGAAATTTTCGATTTTGTTAGAATGTTGTTTTTTGTTGTTGTGAATCGTTCGATAGATATATTTGCACGTCAACGAAATTATTCAACGATAGGAACAACGTTGACGACGATAATAGAAATAACAACGAAAACGACGACGTTGACGACGACAACGACCGCGATGTAACAGCAGTGGTGCCAGGCACGCACAAACATCCTTGGTACTGGGTTGGGAGTACATAGTCAATATGGCTGCCATACTTTATTGAATTGCGCGCGATCTTAAAAACTTTCATTGCAATGCAACATAATATATTTTTTTACTATTTTATTGAATTTATAATTAATAATCGATAAAAAAAATAAAGAAACTGTATTCAAAAATTATATTCTTTTCTTTTTTTTCTTTTATTTTTTCTGTAAAAGAATATAAATTTCAAAAAATGATCTTTTAGATCAAATAGAATTATTGAAAAAAAATTCAACATATAATTATTGAAAAAAATATTTATCAAAATTTCATTTAAAAAAATATAACTTTCAAAGAAAATATAACTTCATTTAAAAAAATATAATATAAATAAATATAAAATATAAAATAATTCAAAAAATTATATATAATTTTAGATATTTTAAAATAATTACACAATTAAAATACGTTAAAATAGCAATAAATGGTACGTGCTTATATTGTTGCGTGCATATATTTATGTGAACAGGTATACGCGTCAACAATTCTAATGTAAATGTATGCATGCATGCATACAAGTATATATGCGTGCATAAATTTTCGCGTGAATTTAACAAATAACAGCGCTTTATAATTATTAAATTTTTACATATCTTTAATACAAATATATTAATAAAATTTGTAATTTTAATTTTTAATTAGTAATTTTTAATTAGTAATAAAAAAATAATTAATTTATATAATAATAAAAAATAATTTTATTTTTAAAATTCAAAGATTTATAAAGTTATCATGAAGTAAATTTGTAATATTATATTATAAAATATGACAATTACTTGATACAATCTTTATGAAATCATCCCCTTATACAATATTTTTCTTATATATTTAAAAAAGGAAATTTTTGATAAATGATAAACATAATAAAAGAACACTAATAAAAGAATACCTGTAATTCTCGAAAACAAGCTTGCCATATTTAATTCTTAAGCCTGAACTTTCTAAAATTTCAAAGGAACAGGTATAAATTGTTCCTTTCCATTGTACGCGCATTCTCCGATTTTATTTAACAAATCGTTGATGAATAATCAATAAATATTATACGTCACAAATTATATTATATTAATTATTATATTATATAACGTAATAATATAAATTACACTATAATAATATAAACTATAATAATATTATATATATTAATATACAATTTATAAATATATTATATATATTAATATATTAATTATTACAGTTTAAAAATTGTTGAACCATAATTAAAAATTTCAATAATCTTTGTAATTATTATGTAATTATTTTGAAGTGTAAATGGAACTCGATTTAATTAACATATCTAAGAATAAACAACATTGAAAAGGCAAATTGACCTGAAAGTAAAGAAATATCAAACAATTCATAGTCAAGACTTCGGAAGGAATAATCACCCCCCGAATTTCTTTTGAATTTTCCATACAAATTTTCTCCTAATTCGTTTCCTGATCGTCCAATCAGGAAACAAGGAACCAGGTATTTCCTTTCCTTATATATAACATCAGGCTAATTTTCTACTTCATTTGTGACTTGTTAGTTGTACTGTGCATTACGAATGTTTGCTACAAATTAGACAAGAATTTGAATTTATTTATTTTGATTTTGATTTTTAATAGTGATAATCAACAATCATGCCAAAAAAAAATAAAAATATAAGCAAAAAAAAATAGACAACATTACTTCAATGATAAAGTAAGTATTTTCGCTTAAAAAAAAAAAAAAGAAAATAAAAAAAAAGAGATAACAGTTATGTAAAGTTAGAAATCATTAATTTAACAATGAAGGTAATTTTTTTTCTATATTTGTTACTTTGTATATATAATAATTTTTTTGTTGAATCAAATAAAAATAATTTTCTTAATTAAAATACTTATCACTCGAAACATACATACAGCATTTGGTATGTATGCATAATGGCATTATTTTATAAATAAATTAACACCAATTATGTTTTAATTAAATTATCTAACTTTTAATAATATTTACATAATGATAAATTTTTTTGGTGCTTGAAAAAAATATTCATTTTAACACAAGATTATCTCGCGCAAAATTCGAACGAAATTCACTAATTGTATTTCATCACACAAATTTTTAATATCTGTATATCTGTTTAAATAAATGATCAACATTTTCTAGTTTCGTACATAAACGTATCGCTTCAAAACTTAACAAGTATTTTTATACATATTTACATATTTAATTATTAAAAAAAGTTTAAATACATTATAAGAATTGAATTTATATTTTACATTATATTTTTTTCAAGGTAATTCAACAGAAAATATTACCTCGTCAAGAATTATCAAAATTTGTGTTCAGAAGCAAACGAAAAATATTTCGAAAAATATCGAAACAAAATTCAAAAATGATAATATTAAAGTTATTCATGTCATTGATAAAAATTTTGCAATCACTGAAAAATAGTATTAAATATATCATGTTCCAAGCGTATTCTTTATGTTTTTGTATATTTGATATAATTTCTTCGAAATTCCTAAATAATTCCAAAAAATATATAGAGAAAACACATAAGGATGCAACTGATAAAAAATATGAGCCAAAGGATAAAAAAAAGAAAATAATGACAGAACCGAAAAAAGAAAATACGAAAAAAGAAAATTCAAAAAATAAAAATAAAAGTGCGTCGTCTCACAATAAGAATCACAAAGGAAAGAAAAACAACGATACTGATAAAATAATAACTACCAAAGAAAATTTTGATTCTTCTACTGAATTATGGAACGTCGATACGAATGATATAATGATAATGAACATGACAATAGAGAATGAAGATATTAACAGATCTATAGAATCATGCAAAATCGCGGAAGAGCCTGTAGAGATATCAGTTGAACATATTGTTAATAATATGAACTCCAAAGTAATTACATCTCAAGAAAATGAATTGTTTACAAGTGCAATAAACAATGATTTTCAAACACAATTTTCGAAATCGTTCATTGATGAAAAAGATAGCATTTCCTCTGTAGATGAAGAAATCGCGCAGATCTTTCAGAACCAATATAATTCTTCAGAAGACGAATTTAAATCTTCTTCGTTCCATACATGTTGTCCCACTTGTAAATGCGAAAGATCAAAACAAAATAATTTTTATTGTCATAAAGTAATCAATAATTATTCTCACAATTCCTCATTTATATCTGGATCAAAAAACGAGGAACGAATGAAGAAAACTGAGTGTATCAATGGTAAAAGAAAAAAAATTATATCTCATGAAAACAGAAAGTATGCAAAATATAAAAATGACAAAAATACAAAGGAAGAAAAAAACGAGTCTCCAAAAAATGTTTCGCCTATAGATAAATCACGTTTTTCAGGAATGCCAATAAAAATTAATAAACTAGAGTATAATAATATTAAATATAAAGAAATGGCTACGCAAACGGATAACAGCCTTTTGATAAATGATGATGTTGAAATGATATCAATTGATACAAATGGTTTTTCTGAACAACAATTTTACTGCAAATCTCAATTCAATCATTTTCAAGTATATTTACAATCTTTTTATTTTATTCCATTCATATTATTCAATAATTCTAATAAATTATTTATTTTTTTCTAGGGTAAAGTGGTAGTACAGGAATTAAATTACATAGCGGATAATGAAGAATCAAGTATTGGATTTTTAAGAATCGCACATAAACAAATTATGTCATGCAGTACATCATCTTCATCAACAGATCTTGGTTTCAATGAAGGTACATCTATAATTCCTGATATGAATAGCACAGTAAGGCACATAAATATATCTAATAATGCGAACACTTCTCCAAGATGTACTCGTCCTCCTCCTGGTTTTCCTGAAATACCACAAAATAGACCGCTATTGTCTCAGATATATGATCCTATAAATTTCATATTAGCATCTTCGATGTATGAAAATTCTATCTATAATTCTCTTATCAACACGGTAACAATTGTACCACCAATGCCACATCTTTATTATGATTATCCCGAATTTATGGATTTTCCTATTTATAACAATTCTTCAGAAACATTAGATAATATTCTAAAAAAAAATTATTATGAATAATATTTTTATTTCAAACAAATTTATCTATAAAGTTTTTTTTATATAAAATAAGAAAAATTTATTATGAAAAAATCGATAACTTAATGTTAAAATATTTATTAAAAATATGTACAAAATATATAAAGCAAAATTTAGAGAATTAAGATATTTTCTTCAGTATTTTACGGCGTAGGCATAAATGATAAATTCATCGGCGATAACTGACTTCCTGATGTAACATCTGGTCTTTCTCCTTGTTCAATAACTGGGTCTGTTTCATTCATATCTTCTATCTATAATTGATATAACATTAAAAGTTTATTAATATTATTTAATTCTAAAATATAATATATTTTATTATTAAAAATATTTATTTTATTATTAAAAATATTTTATTATTAATAAATATTTCATAATTACCACCATTGAATGTTCAAATTTTCCTCTTTTCTGAGCAATCGTTCTTAACAATGCTTTAGCTTCTTCTTTTGTTTCATCAAATTGCAAACATTTTTGAGCATAATGATTAGCATAATCTAATTGTTCTCGTTTTAAATGATACTGTGTTAAATATTTATACGCATGACTTAAATCAGTTCTATCTGCATTTCTAAATTCATCCATCACAAAATCTGTATAAGCTGCTGCTGCATGATCATGTTCACCTAATTTTTCATATAACCTACAATATATATATATTAGAACAAATTTAAATATATACATCATGTCATAATAAAAGAAATATCTTTAATACATACGTTGCTAATTTTAATAATGCCATTCCTTCAATATCACCAACATTGCATGCTTTATAATAACATTTCAATGCATCTTGTATTTTATTTTGTTTTTCATATGCTTCTCCTAAAGCTAATACCATTCTACTATCATGTGGTCTTAGAAGCTGAGCTTGTTTGTAATAGTATAATGCATAGAATGGCATTTTTAAGATTTCATATGTTTGACCCAAACCATA